AAGTCAAGGCAATGAACCGCAGTACAATATGCAAATTATACAGAAGATAGGCACAGAAACTATGTATTCTCAACTGACATGATCCTTCCTTCCTGGGACACGATACAGCCCTTCACGACTCAGTCCACGATTTTCTAAATCCACCACGCAGTAGATTATAGGATATGCAATCATGGGTGGCGTTGAAGGGCAAAACTCCTGAATATAAAAGATGACTCCTGACAGTAATAAAAACAAATAATAGATGTCGGCGCGGGTAATCTTATAGTCAGCTCCCATCCGAGTAAGCAAATTACCTGTAAATGATAAAACTGCTGTCCACGTTTGTTCGGCGTGCGCGGAAGAACAGCAGTACGTGGAACACATGGCAAAATAAGACGCCTTAAAAAAACTCTGTATTGAGTATCCAATATTCTCGTAAAGTGTAGAACTTACGATGAGCAAGATACATGAGCAAGTTGGAGACAATCGTGACACTTATACGCCGGCTTTGCAGCGAAATTAATACCGCCATGACACACATCACAAGAAGTGATCTACAAGAATGAATGAAACAACTCAAGTATATATCAGGAAACTAATTTGTTAATATGAACAACCAACCTTGAAGTATGTTGATAGAGCCTGGAAATTATGAGGACGAGTTGCTATCGGCATACCATGTGTCCAAGGTCGACTTCCAGCATGGCGCTTTTGTGACCGTCTTGAATTATTTCAGTTATGAATGAATGTAAATTCTGGCATTCCGGTCAGTGACACAAAACTAGCTCTCTTGTACGAAGTCATTAAGACCAACACTTGCTGAGCTAATTATAGAATACTTGAAAAAACTACAGTTCCTATAAATTGCATCTTCAAGAGAATCGGTTGAGTTGACAACTTCTATCGATTCTATTGAAAATACGACATCACAGAAACCTCTTTTACTCTTATTTTGCGAATCTATTTATATTGACCGACAATTACAAGAAAATCTCACAGTTCCAATGTGCTAGTAGTTCGTGGAACAAATGGAGTTCTTGGAGCAGCAGCTGGCGTCTTCGCCTAAATCAGGGAAAAATATAACAGAAAATCGTGACCAACATACGTGCAACCATTTCTCCTGGTTTTGGTATGGTAATAATAAAGGTAATGATCAAAGTGTGCAATTAAAACAGAAGCCACGCTCATTAAATTTCAGAACAAATAACTCCTTAAATACGGAAAGTTGGCTGAGAAGCAAGACGTTTTCGAAATTTCAGTGTTTCAGTTGGCAAGAGATCAATATTAATTACCATTTTATATGCCTAATCGCCGTCTTTATCAGTACTTTATCAGTACTTCTATCTCACCTTAATCCTTGACCATGATTAGGAGAAACACTAAGTGGTGTTCAAATAGTTGCCATAAGAAAATGAAACTAAGTATATGTAGAAATCGAACGATTTCTGGCTATCTTCCGAAATTTGCGCGCGATATCTCGGATAAAACTAATGGGTCGAAAAAGGCCATTTTCAAATCCCCATGAATGTCTATCAGCACGTTTTCGATAACAAAAAGAGAACCTGATTTGCCAACAGATCGTTCGCCGACATGCTCCTGTTCATGCTTCTTCTGATCGTGACTTTAGCCTGTGACGCCCTCTGTCTACTCGGATCAACGGTAATTGTAGTTGTGGTCGTAATCTCCTCAGTGGTTTCTCGTGAGCGCTTTGCAGGAAGCGGAGAATCACGCTGCAATCTTTATCTATGCCAGCTGTATCAAACAAGTGTTGAGATGTTTCTCGCAAAGACAAAACAATTAGAGATTACAAAAAACAGATGTGTCCATCAAAAAAAGATGACAAAAAATGTTGACAATTTCATGAATCACTCACTGTTTCGTCGTTTTCATTGATGGCTGCTGGCGCAGCTTCACGTAGACGGCTGCTCCTCCGTTTGGATGACCCTGCAGGATGAGCATGTGCAGATATGGAACGTCGCCCACGCAAACCAACAGAATGGTTCCTAGCTCGCCTATAACCACTGCTCATAGTTTGCACTGGCGGAACACTAATATCAAATAAGTAGGTGCTGCTTCTGGGATATGAGATATTTTCAAGCTCTTTTAGTTTTCGATACCGCCCTACTGTCAATCACCTACTGTAGGCAGCGAAAAGACGAAAAAATTGATTCAAATGAATAGAATTCAGGAACCTATCAGGGAATTTGTAGCCGATCGCTTTTTCCGAAGAGAAAATGAATCAAACCACCCTGCACATGTTCGTCTTGCATGCAACTTCGCAAGTGTATCTAATGTATTGCTACTTAGATCGTAATCCATGGTCTCCTCGGTATCGCCCTCCTAAAACAATTGCTAGTATGTACTTGAGCGTAGGGACGATGAAAGGATGTTATAAAGGTGTAAAAAACAAGTAAAATATGTCACCATGTACTGTTCTCTAGCTACTCGCTTCGAATTTGTTCTTCCAAGATCAGGATTACGTAGGAAGCAAGCTGCTTGCGAGTTTCCGGTGGAAGGTTGTCCAGATCAGTCTAAACGTATAAATCATTCAATACTAAACCAAGACCCAGCCATCCTTACGAATCTGTGGAAACAACTTTACTTGTCGAAGATTATACCTTAAAGGGACATTCTTGTCAGCGGCAATTTTAAACGGTCGAATCGTTTCGTCCAAGTCTGCCCGCATGGCATGAGCTTCTTGAAGCTGGGCTCTGATTTGTGCTCGAGCATCCGTCAGCTCTGCGTTACACCGCCGAAGCTGAGATGACAGCGATCTGAATAGGTGATCGAGATTTAGAAAAATGGAAAGGTCACTCAGAAAATTACCATGAAATCACCAATAAAAAGTTGAATAATGAATAGGTACAATTTATTCGATAAAATTGCATGAAGCTGCTTTGAAAAAAAAACATTCAACGCCAATCAACTTCTTTTAGGAGCGGCGCCCACGTATTCTGGGCGTATATGTTATAAACATAACATGACATGTTAAATCGGATGGCTAATATTGGGAGGGGGGTAACAGCATATATAAGTTAGCGCTTTTATCCTCCCATACAATTCTGGTACTAATAAGCCGACCATTTAACAATGGAAGCCTTTGGTCTGAAACGCACACGACCCAGAATTTGAACCCTCGACCGGCGGCGACACTCGCAACTAAACCACATCCGCCCTTCACCCTCATAATTTAACTTATTTGATGGTATTTTAAATTTGTCCGACCACAATGGATTGCGCAAGCGTGCGTCACTAGACAAGTATTGAAACAATCTTCCTGCACATCTTTATGGTGTATCAAAGAGGACAGCATATGACGAATACTGGCAGCAAAAACACAGGGATGTTGATACAATGGCTCACTCGGTTTCAAGCCGTATTCCTTGAGAGAGGAAGAAGAGGCTGAGAAAAGTGATTTATCCGTTCACATTATCGAGATCTCAAAGCATGGAACGATATGCTAGGGAATATGCGACCAGGTAAATGTGCTCCCTGCCTAAACTTTGGTGTTCTTCTCCGAAAGTCTCCGTTGCAAAATACTTTTTTTTCCCTCAGTAGGTTCCATTTGTATTTGATAAGCACAAAAGAAGGCACGAACTCTATTTCAGAAGAGGATTTTGCGTTCAACTGCTCATGATAGTTAGCTTTTTCTTCGGCCGCCTTCCACGCTACACGTAATCGCTCCATCTGCTCCAGTATGGTTAACATCTCTGCAAAACGAAAAACAGATTTTGGAATATAGAAACTGGAACTCTATCAGAGGAAATTAACACAACCCTGGGCAACGAACACTGGACAATACCCCTTCTCTGTGTTGGTGGCCAAAGCATTGTATATCTGCATAACTTTGCGGGATTCATCACTCGAGTATGTCATGACGGAGTCAGCCATATTTGTCCTGAATAAAATAGCTTCAGCAAAGGTCAATACTTCTCATTAGGTACATTCTGCGACGAAGAAGCGCCGAATCGTCAGCTGGGAAGCTTATAAATTGTATGTGACACGCCTGTATTGAGAAGATCTAATTCGCTAGATCCTCTCATTACAATGAATTTGAATAGTATGCGCAGACTGGTGTACATGAAGTGTAGGAAAAATTAGAGGAAATGCGAGCGGAATAAAGACACAGAAAATCCGAACTCTTAAATAAAGCTCATAGCTCATCTCAAGCAACGTCATTATAATAAATGAAAAGGGATAAGCTTCACAAAATCGAAGATGGAGACCAAAAATGCTCACATCCTCCCTTCCGCCATCCTAAGGCTTAGTCCCAAGTACTGTAAGTGACTCACTTACTTGAATGTCCTCTCTGACGACATGAGCACCGAAAATGAAAGTAGAAAGAGAAAACAACTAAACCAACATCCATAGAATAACCAATGGTATCTAATCGACTTTGCAGATTCTCACCACAAGGCTTTCGAATTTTGGATCTCTCTTCAAGCCTTAGCAACTTCCTAGTAGACCTAAAGTAACAACGCAGGTCTGCGGCAGGAGGCAAAACACGATTTATCTGCGGGAAACTGAAGGAAAGCTACTTTCCAATAAAATTTACGAGGTAATGTGAACTGGTCCACTTGTTGTGTTTGAAGCTTCAGGAAGCCGCAACGGTAGCACAATTTTTCAACTTTAGGGTCATAGCAGAACGATTCTTATTAGTTTCCCGTGCGACTACCTGTAGTGAAAGATTACAGTACCATTTCACTACTCAGATGTCTGCTCTGTCCCTCAAAATCTACTTCTACATTCGCACCCTCTGAATATATACAAAGGAAGGTGAATGTACTGGGTGGGTGAATGCACTTTACCCTCTGATTTGAGAAAAAGGAAACAAAAAAGCGAAAACATTAGGAATTCCTTTAATCTAGAGAACTAACAGCAGCCTGACCCTTCTATCCTGCAGAGTAGCTAGAGATGGATTAAATGGAAACACAGAATGACTAGATTCAAACGACTGGTGAGTTTCAGGGACGCTAAAATCGAAATTTAAACGCTCGCGGTGATAACGCATTAGACCGCGCCGCGACACGCGCGCCACAGGACACTTTAGTGGAGCGCGAAATAATGGTAATCGGCTGGGTTGCGCTAGCCCATCCACCTCGCTAGGCTTGCGCTCTATGTTACCTAGGTGTGCGACCTCGGCTGATTCTAATATTTTGGCACTCATGCTTTGCGGGGAAGGGACATTCAAAATAGGGCATTCAAAAAATACTATAGGTGACACTAGAACCAATTTTAAGCCCAAGAGGGGAGAACGAAAATTGCTGACATGCCTCACTCACGATCCTTTCCCCTCCTAAGTAGAGCTTAGTTCCAGGTATCGACTGGCTCATCACTTGAATGTTACCCCCATCGTCATGAGCGCCTTATTATTATTCGAAAAGAAAATTAAGCAGTAGTCATTCGGAACTCCGGCGCAGTGTGTTTGCAGGATGAAAAAGGTCTTTTCCAATTCATCATTCATCGGCATCATGATGCAGTTTTTCCAGAAAGCTAGGGTAACTCCGAGCCAGGGGAAGTGTAGCCAGTCTAGGGGGTGGGGGTGAGGCAGTCACTTGACATGCGTGAAAAGCTGGAATGTTCGAGTTCACACTAGTTCGCCGAGAAGCTGCATCATGATGCCCCTAACTGGAATAGACCCCGAAAAAAATTCTTCATTTGTCATTTTTGCACACAATCGCATGATCACATTCCCAGAAAAGGTGAGAGTTCTTCAAATTGAAAAAGCGCGTACAGCGAATCATCGTGGAAAGCGCTGCGTTGGACCACTAGCGCAGGGGAAAGGTTTTTATCCCCGTCGAACTTCGTATAGCATACATTATACGAATCGATACGAGGTCTGGAATGCGTTACGTAAAAGGAACTAAAACAGGTAATTAAGTTCCGTGAGCAAGTTATGGGCAATGCAAGTTGGCAGAAGATGCCGCGTCCGAGTATGAACTGATCCAAGCGGCGGCGGCCAATTAACCTCTGCGCCAAAAACTAATATCATAGTCGTGCTCAGTAAACCTACTTCCCCTCTTAGCAAAGCTAACAAAAATCGGATATTTTAAGACAACTTCGAAAAAAATGACGGGCCATGAGAAGAACGGCAGGTTGTTGTGTGCACCGTCGCAGTACTTGCAGATGACTTGGGCACGAAAAAAAGCAGCAATAATAATTTTGGGTGATGAACCAACGTTGCTCCAAAAAACCTGATACAATGTTTTCAGTCCTTGAACGTCACCTCGGCTGGACAAGAAGCCTAGCTAATGGAAGGAGCGCGCAAGTGTGTATCCTGATTATGAATATGACATTCAGTTTGACGCAGGTTCCATCTGCCTCCAGTTTGGGTGGTTATGTTAGCTGGCCTCATATAACGATAGCTATTTCTATCAATTTGTAACGCTCACAGCCTGCTTAGAAAATTCACATGGCAGAATGATCTACATGTTTGCAATCAGTGTTTCAGGCACTATCGATTGAGTAAGGGGTGCTATACAAGTAGGGTGGGCACGCCGCATTTTTTGAAGTGTATGTAAGTGGGACTGCTGCCCGCTACTATACCGCCGCCAAAAGAATCGAGGATTCGGGGAGCCAGGGGGAATGCGGTCAGTCTAGGGGGTAGAGGGTGAGGGCAGTCACCTCACATGGAGGGCGTGCCCACCCCACTTGTATAGAGCGAACTACGTTTCCGACGACAACGATGGCAGCGATCGTGATCGCTTGCCCGTCGCGAGTGTGACGCTCTCTGAGAAATTCCTCCTACTGTGGTGGAACTTTGAGGTGGCCGCCTGTCTCGGCAAAAAAAAACATGACTGAAGTTCACTTGCTCAAATTTCTATTATTAAAGCGCGACACAGCTAAATAGTCCTGGGATTGAGTGCATGTGTGCATCTACAAATTCGCTCCAGCAAAAACCATCCAAAAATATCCTCCTACCCAAATCTTGCATGGATCTTTACCCTGGACAGTTGAAATAATAATCGTTGTAAAAGTTGCAAAATTTCAACCATTACGCAAAAAACCCAATCCATTACAGGGTAGAAAGTAGTTATCGCTTAACCTTTCTTGTTATGACTTGATGGTGGATATTCGCCTCAGCAAAAACCATCCAAAAAATATGCTCCTATCCAAATCTTGCATGGCTCTTTACCCTGTGCAGTTGAGGTAATAATCGTTCGACTTTCTAAGTTGTAGAACTTCGCACATTTAACATCGCACAAGACTGTTTCTAGCTCTGTTAGCCCACACTGACGTGAGCATACGATTCGTTGTTGTCTTTTCCTCGAGCTTTCCCTTTGATAGAGACAGCAAGACTTACAATATTTTCCGAATGTTTCACATACTTCATTTAGTTCACTAGGATTGAAGTCAAACCAAGAATTTTGGAACGTGCTATCTAAGCTGGTCGATTTTACATGTTCGATCAACAGCCTGTAGAAACA